TGGGCAATTCTTCCTTCTCCCAGTCCCCACGTTTACCTTCTGAGACTTGGGTGGTGTGGCTGAAGCCCTTGATGCCAAAGACTGAATCAAAAAAGTTGTTGAGTACCTCAGCCTTCTCCATATGCCGGGTAACCAGGTCTCCTGTTTCCTTTGGAGAGGGCCCACATTTTTCTCCATCTTCCTTTTATGACCAATGTACCTATAGAAGCTTTTTTTGTTGCCTTTGACATCCATGGCCAGATTTAATTCTATCAGGGCTTTGGCCTTCTTAACCTGATCCCTGGCAGCTCAGTTTCTGTGTATTCCTCCCAGGCTACCTTTCCTTGCTTCTACCCTCTGTAGGCTTATGTTTTGTGTTTGAGTTTGTCCAGGAACTCATTGTTTGTTGATACAAGCCTCCTTGGATTCTTACCTGACTCATCTTTGTTGGGACACACCAGTCCTGAGCTTTGAGGAGGTGATCCTTGAATATTAACCAGCCTTCTTCGGTCCCTCTTCCCTCCAGGGCTTTACCCCATGGTACTCTACCATGAAGATCCCTGAAGAGGCCAAAATCTGCTCTCCTGAAGTCCAAGGCAGCGAGCTGGCTGTGTGCCCTCCTCACTGCCCTGAGGATCCTGAACTCCACCATTTCGCGGTTGCTGCAGCCAAGGCTGCCCTTGAGCTTCACACTCCCCACCAGCCCCTCCCTGTTGGTAAGAACAAGGTGCAGCACAGCCCTTCTCCTCGTTGGCTGCTCTATCACTTGGAGAAGGACGTTATCACCAACGCGTTCCAGGGACCTCCTGGATTTCTTGTGCCCTGCTGTGTTGTGCCTCCAACAGATATTGGGGTGGTTGAAGGCCCCAGTGAGGACCAGGGTGTGTGAACATGAGGCTGCTCCTATCTGTCTATAGAGGGCCTCATCTGCTCCGTCTTCCTAGTTGGGTGGCCTGTAGAAGACCCCCACTATAATGTCACCTGTCCTTGCCCTTCCTTTAACATCCCATCTTAGCATATAAATGTTTATATTTTCATTAAATAAAAACAGGAAGGAAAAGGCAGTATGTGCTTGAAAGCACTAGAGGGAGCCAGGAGGAAGAAGAGGGGAAAACTGTTGAGGGCATGCTTGGATTTTTTAGGAGTAGCTTATACAAAGCATCCATTTAAATCCTCCCGTTTACATCAGCTAAAATGAAGCTACGGGTCAGCTGCTGCCTCTGGCTGCTCTCTGTTTCCCCATGCTTCACTAAAAAAATTTCAATTTTGTAGTCCTGAGAGAGTCCAGAAACTTTGCTGTTTTTTAAATGGCTGTAGGGAAAACCGCCTGCCCCTCCGTTGACTGTACCCCCTTTTTTTTTTTTTGCCTTGTTTTGTATTTGGATGAGCAGCCAAATGTTAATTTGCCTTCTGGTGCTGGTGGCTGTTTTGGGACGATGGGTGTGTAGGCTCAGTTCTGAGCTTGTCTCTCTCAGAGATTATATGGGGGAGAAAGAGACAAAGTGGGGGTCTTGGTGTATATCTGTACTGGGGATTGATTAGATGAAGAGTTTTAATGGCATTAATTTGGAGTGGCTGCATTGCTCTTGCAGGGGATCTGAGGAAAATGAGTTATCTGCAAACTTGTAGAATAACATAGAAGCATGAAGTTACTGTAAAGTCTCTCTTATTTTTTGAGGTTTTAAAAGTGTTGTTGGGCACACTTTTTATATTGCTTTGTTGTAAAGCTAAATGTCTTGAGGTAAAGTGTAGCAGCTTTATGATGTAGATAATATAAGTGATTTGGTTTTAATTCCCCTCCACCCTGATAAACTGCCATAATGTTGATATCTTGGGATCTGTAAGAGTGGGATGAAATCCTCTGTGTGTGGTTCTTTAGTTTTCAGGTTTTGGAGGGTGGGGAACTCTTTTTAGTATTCTAAAGTTTCTCCTCTTGATATCCAGTATTAAACAACTAAACCTGTCGGTGTGCAGAACTGAATTTTGATGGCCTGGGGCCTTGGCATTGAGCAATTTTGAGGAAAGGAAGGATGTATTATCATTATTATTATTATTGTTATTGCTAATAGTAATAATAATCTGAGGCTGCTTAGGGCTTTGGAATGCTGGAAGTCATCTTGGAGGAGGTAGACAGACTGGAAGTAGGTGATTAAATGAGCAGAATTAGTATGTATGTACTGTGTGTTTGTCATCTGCTGCTGTAATTTATTGCTGCCACACTTGTTGCTCAAGTTCTCTAATGTCTCTTTTCCACTTTAGGAAATAAATGGAAAAGGCAGGAATAATGGACTGGGGTGTCCTTCCTTTAGATGGAATGATTTTCGGTTACAAAAGCAAGGATAAACATTTCTCAAAAGTACTCTAACCATGCTTTAGCCTGAGGACTCTGCTCACTGTAGAGGAAAAAATATAATAGAATTTAAATATGTGGAGGCTGAAGTCCTTTAGCAGTACACAGAGATTTTTTTTTCCAGTGTACTTTGAGACTATAAAGAGTTGTTGGCTATTTATAATTACATCATTCCAGATTTGAGATGTTTACAAATTAAGAATTGAAGAGAACATTTCTTCTGAAATATTTAATAACCTCTTGGCAACAAAAAAAACAGACAGGTAAGAGCACTAAGTAGTTATGGCTTAATTCCTGTTGGATGGTTTAGAGCCTTCTCCTGATCTGAGAATTAACTGCACTGAAGATTAAACAGATTATTGGTATAGCAGAGATATTTTTTTCCCTGCCCCTTTAGCTGCTCTGCTTTGCATTGTTTCTCCTGCTGCAATGCAGGGATGGGGGCAGGCGTGTTTCTCACTCTTCTGGCGTGTAGAGGCTTCCTACTGAAGCCCAAAAGTATTTCCTTAGGTAGAAGACTCGCAGAGTTGAACTGTAAATTGAGTGCATATTCAATTTATTCCTCAGAACCAGGAAAACAGGCATATTTAGTCCAAAACAGAGGATGGTGATTTTCTTGATAAATTTCTTATGCTTCCAAGAGGCTGTTCACTTAGAACGGTCTGTGAATACTTCAGGGAACTCAGTGATACACAGATTATCCAGTGGGGCCCCTTGATGTGCAACTAAAACAACTTTTTTTGTGATTATTCAGTCTTTTTTTGTGATTATTCAGTCTTTTTTTTTGTGATTATTCAACTGCAGGGTAGTATCTGCTGACGTTGAACTCCACGGGACAACAGAGGGGTGTCTTTTTACCTGCTGAAGTGGTGGTGGATGCACTGTGGAAAGGATCAAATTTCCCTTGGGAGAGTTAGAGGAAAAAAAAAAGTTATTCTCTTAAAAACACACAGTGGAAATTAATGACACGGCGTACTCAGATTTTTTTGTTGCCTTAGGAGAAGCCGGTACCTTCAGTAGTAGCCCAAGGGCAGAGTTTTTATCATTTGACTTTCGCTGTGACGTTTACCCAAAGGCCGTGATACCCGATAAAAAAGAAAGGGCCAACCCCAGAGCGGGCGTAAGGTGTCCCGAGGTGCAGCACCCCTTCCCTCTCCCCGCCGAGCTGGGGCAGAGCAAGACGCCCATGAAACGGTGCCCGGCGCCGTATTTTCCCCCCCCCCAAGTCCTTCATGTTCAGCCTGCTCCTCGCTGTCCACCTGCCCGCCGAGCTTCGTGGAGAAAGATGCCGCTTCGGAGGGTGGCTTTTCCCTCTCTGAGCTTGGTGTCCACAGCGTCCCTCGCCGAGGTGGCCTGGAGAGGAAACCTGGCCAGGGGTGTCTAACAGAAAAAAAACTTTAATTCTGTGCTGGGGGGGAATGTTTCGCTACAGGTTTGGAGCAGAAATTGCCACTTGGTGTCACTTGTCCCAGCGGTTTTGGGCGCAGCAGGAGCAGCGCTCGTGCCTGTTCCCGGTACTGTCCAGGGCAGTCCGAAAACATGGGGCTGAGGCGTCTTGGTGATCTGTTCGGGCGAAGCGCAAGCACGAGCGGCGGCACGCTTCATGGATAAGTCAGGAGCGTGCATCTGCTGATCTGAGGTTGCCTCGGCACCTCCTGTGCAAACGCCGGAGCGAATTCAGGGGGAGGTTAAGGGAGCAGGGACTGCCTCTGCCTCTTTGAGCCCGGGGAGGGACGGGGAGTGACTGAAGCCAGGCAGGCTGATGGTTCTTGGCTCTTCAAAGTGAGGACTTGGGACTCTCCTGTTTGCCTTGGTTAGGAGCTGGGATCGCTAGCATAGGGTGGTAGCCCTTTAAAAGGTGGCTGTTTTGTCCGTATTCCTCAGAAATGAGGTTTCTCATGCTTTGTTTGCTTTTAATGTAGGGCTGTGAAGAGCTACTGCAAGTGAGCCCTAAGTTAAAATCTGATGAGACTGTAGTGCTGGTATGCGACAGGGGCTGAGACTAGCTCCCCAAGCAAACACAACAATATACAGAATTATTGATAATGGTGTGGGACTTTGGCTGGGCTTTGCCCTAAGGAAGAGGGGCTGGGAGGTGAAATCAGCCTCCGAGCTGGTGAGCTCAGCATAAGTACCCGCTGGGCTCTTAGCCTTGCTGGGTCTCGACTGAGATCTAGGTGAGGATGGGATTTAAATCCCATCCTGCAGTGGCTGGTAAAGCACCCTCCTTTCCCTGCTCTCAGTGCCGGGTAGACAGCTGGGGTTGGGGTGGGGAGGGAAAGGCACTCGCCATTCCCTTTGGGAATATGTGGCGCTTGCTGGGCAATAGCTGCCAAAAGAGAAAAGCGAAGCATTAAAAATTCCTTTAATTGCGTTTTGTTGTATTTGTGTGCTTGATAGCAGCTGGTAGTACTTGTTTCAGAATACTTTAATGGTGTGATTTTTTTTCTCCATCACATTAGCCTTTAAAAAAATATTTTAGGCTAGTGTTTTTCTTCAGTGGGGTTTAAATTTTGATAAGAGTATACTGCGGGATTTTTTTTCCCCTCCAGTATTACTGTGGAAAAGTATTTGGATCTTTATGTTATAATCTATAGTCAGGCAGGAAGCAGCTTAACTTCGGCTTCTCTGAGCAGGACTGTTGAAAGGCGCGGGGTGTGAGCATGTTGATTTTATTGTTGTCTTGTAATAGCAACCCGCTCTCGGGCTCCCTTATTTGCATTCTCAGCAGGACGGCAAGGTGAATAATTTAATTCCAGCAGCCTCTGCCACGTGACGATGCGAGGGACCCGTCAGCGATGCCTCCCCTGTGCCGACAGACTTCGGAGGGGAATGGAAACTTACAGAAGCGATGCGAAATCGTCGCATCTCCTCCCTTAACCCCGGGGAAATCTCCCGGCAGAGCGATCGCTTCTTCCTTCGCTTTTCCACGCGTTCCTCTGACGTGGAGCTTAGGGGAGGAGGGGAAGGGGGGGGGTGTGTGTGAGCCTGCGAGCAAGACGAGCGAGGGAGTGGGAAGCGGGGAGGGCAGCGGGGAAAAATGCACACCCAGCCACCGAGCTAGTTGGAGCAGGAACGACGAGGAGCCGGAGCGAGGCCCGGAGCCCAGCCGCCGGCAGCGGGGAGTGGAAATTTACAGCTGCTTGTGAGCGCCTGTGCATGTTGAAGCGATCCTTTCCGCTAACGCTTTTTCCAGAGGCTGAAGAAGAGCGGGAGGCCGAGTCGAGGGATCCCTTCTCTCTGCCACGTGTCAGTAACCGGAGGGTGGGGGGGGAGAAAGCGGAATTAAATGGAAGATAACTGAAGGCGGCTGCTGGCGGCGTGGCCTGCGGGGAGGCGGCAGAGCTGTCTTCAGCACCCGGCCATGGGGCTGCACGGGGCTGCCTAGGAGCCCCCACCTTTCCTCACGCAGTAAGTGTCGCCCGAAATGATGTCCTCCCAGTGACAGAAAGTTAAGCGATTTAATAAAACTTTTCTTTTTTTTTTTCCGGTTAGCACCAGCCTTTTCACAATGAGCCGCTTGCCTGCTTGCTCTCGATAGTTACGCTGTTAGCTTTTTATAGCTTTGTAAACTGTGTTACCAGGAGTGGCTTTTTAAAACAGGCAACCCTAAACAATACTCCTCCTGTTACATAAGGCGCTGGCTCCGCGACCAAGCTCTCCGTGTCCATGGAATATCTCTGGAAATGGCTTTATTTACAGCGTGGTTTCCAAAAATAAAATATCTGCAATATATCATTTCTCTTGCTCCTCTCCGCTGACTGCCTGCAGCTGCGGACTGGCTCTTGAGATGCAGAGGAATGAGAGCGTGGCCGCTTGCATAAGACATCGGGGAATGGTTAGAGATGAAGGGAAGATGGGCGCGTGTGTGAACTGTCACAAGCAACGGCGTATGTAAATTAACCATCTTGTTGTTTATAGTCAATAGGTCTTGTCCACCTGAAATGCTAATTCTGTGTAACGGGCTCTTCACGAAGACATTATCGGGCAGAACTTTCATTGGGCTTAAGGGAAGTTTTTTTTTTCTGAGCAAAGACTCTTTCGTGGGCTAATATTAGTAGGAAAGTGAGATTGCTGCTATAGAAAATTATTAGTTATGAAGCTATTGAAAGTAACACAGCAGGCTTGCTAAGAACGTGGCCAAGTGAGTGCTGTGTAGAGAGGTAACTTTCAGTAACATTGAACAAAAAGCAAAAACAGTATTCACATTCCTTTCTAATGGATTTAGAGGCAGTCCTATTCCCTCTTGGCTGCTGCCTATGTTATCTAAATTATATTACCGGTTTCCATTATTTCTATCGTTATTACTACTATAAATGTAAATTTAACTTGGTTTCCCTTTTACTTAAGTAAATGAAAAGCTATTAAGGGCTGTTCTGTTAGAATTGTGTGTATTTCAGAGACATTAGTTAAGAGATCTCCTTCTGCATGACTGAGCTTGTGGGAGTTTTGCTATGGACTACAGTTAGGCATGGAATTGAATTCTTAATTTTTTAGGTTTGAAAGAACTCCATGGTGACAAATGGAAATAGGGATCCCAAATATTCTTGACTCATCGATCCTGCAAATTTGGTGGCTGTAACACTGCTGGTTTCTTATCTTTCCAGTTTTATTCAACATCAAGTAATAACCTACTACTTCTAGCTAGTTCATTAGCATGAGTGGGAGAACCTGTGTAATTCCATGATACAGAGATGATCGATGCCGGTGTGAGTGTGGTGCCACAGGATGCTGCTTCTGCATGGGTTTAGAATCAGAATGTTGCCTGGCATGGCAGTGTGCACATGCTGTTTTGTAATAAATATTTTATAATAAGAATGATAGATGCAGTAGCACAGGACAATGCATAAAAGGACACCAGGCAGGAAAGTCAAACACTCAGAAGAGTTCCTAGCTTTAAATCTGGTATTTATCTGTGCCAGTGTAATCTGTTCTGTGTACCCTACTCGGGATACTTTCATTAAGCTTGTGCCATCACACATCTACAACGCTTTTCTCATCATCACTCCCTCATTCTGGTTTTGGCTGGTGAACACCCGAGCTGTAGTCTCCCCTCCAGCAGTCCTGTCTCTCTACCCTCCTTCCACCCCCTTCTTCCCCTCTTGTGCTGGAACAGCTCTTTGTAAAACCGTGGGGAGAACCGGACTAGAAACCCACGTGACCTTTTTTGACCCGCCTGGGGCTGGTTTTGGTTAACCTGGGTCGGTTCCCTGACCTGGCTCACCACGTGGCCCCACGAACAGCTGTACCCACGCCAACAGAGGCTGCAGGGATGTGGGCCGATGCGGGGCAGAGTGGCACAGTCACGGAACAAAGTGTTTATCAAACTGTGGCCTCAGTGACCAGATAGCTTATTCGGCGTTTCACTTTATCCCCCGTGTTTGCTGAGAGACTATATAGGCTTTTTGTTTTGGTTTTTTTTTTTTTTTTTTTAATTGAATGGGCGTTCAAGCACTCAATTAAAAATAGAATTATTAATTTCTTTGAGAGCTTCCATAGTGCTACACCACAGCACTTGAGTGGAGCATCACCATGAATGTCTTCAGTTCCATGACAGCGTTGAACAACTATGTGAGATTATTATTCTCATTCTGTAGGGGTGATAAGATTAAGGGCAGAGCTGCCTACTTATTTTCAATGTCTGATCTTCGGGGTTCTTGCCTTCTGCTAAAAATAAAAGGTGTTTGTGGCAATGGTAAGCATTACTGCAATGTTTTGTGTGTTCAGGTGAAGTTTCAGCCAATATTCACCTTCATTCCAGGTGATGAAACAAGTAGCCAACAGCAAGGCTTATGAAGAATAAATTCTTAAGTTTTTGGAATAATTTTGTTGCCACACAGAGATGGCATTCATCCACCCTAACCATAAAACTGTCATCTCTTCTGTTAATCTGTTGTCTCATTTGCAATGTACTTTCTAAAATCTGCAACTTGTTGAGGAATTGCAGAGAAGTTACTTGTTGTGTAGCCCTGATTACCTCTGCATATCGAATGTAACGTAGGTCGTGTGAGAGAACCGCATGGGGGGAGGACAGATTGGATTTCTCCAGGACATCATCACACATGGGGGCTTCCATCCCCTGGTTTGAGTACGTGACTCTGAATTTGCAAGAACTTTCCCAAATACGGCACGAGGGAGAAATGAGTAGGGAGTAAAGTGTCTCTTCTATTACGTAGAGACTGAATTAGGCAAAACTATGAAGAAATTGTGCTAATTCAGGCCAAATATGTGGGTCTTAGGCACACTGGCGTGAATGGAAAATGAAGGTCTCTTTCCATTCAAGAAGCTCTCGCCCAATATGAGTTACTGAAATGCTTTGATTCTGAACAGTAAGTCAGTGAAGGTTAGGAGCTAAGACAAGACAGATATCCGATACCTGAAGGGAATTTTTTTGCTTATTCATTTTTGAAGACCAGTTGGCTTATCTGGGGGAATGTCTGCGAAGAGTGAATGGATGGGCTCACGTGCTCTCTCCCACTCCTGCCTTGACGGGCAGGAGGAAACGTTTGTCACCGAGCTGCTTAACTGAGTCATTTCACAGTGGGATGGGCCAGTGCGTAGAGTGGTGTTACCGTCTGTATTTTTCCTTCATCATGCTTACAAGCTCAGTTGTAATCTTCCGGGAAAGTATATGATTAAAAACAAAGAAACTGTTGAGAACGTCTATAAACAGAACTAGATTTCTTACTGTACTTTATAGTTGTATTAAAGAGCTCAAGTTGCACTAACTTTTTTTTTTTTTTTTTAGTGCATTCCCTTTATGAGCAGATAAACTGTCAGAAGAGATATTTTGAAGACTGATAAAGCATAGGCTTTGGTGTCAAATGACTTAGGCTTCATTCCTGACACAGCCACTGATTTTTTTTTGTGACCTTGGGTAAGTCTTCTAATCTTTCTGTGCTTCAGCTTCTCACTTTGCAGACAAGGCAGAGTAACAGCAGGTATAGGTTTTTTTGGAAGTGTGTTTGCCATCTTGGTTAAATGATTGAAGAGCTGGAGGTCTCTGAGGGAGAGCATGTTATGTTACCTTTGACAGGCTACTGAATACCCTAAAACTCATGTCTGGTAAACCTCATCCACCTCTGGATTTAACTTGCTGCTTTAGCCTGTGTGATATTTTTTTTTCCTTTTTTTTCCCGACTCTTAAAAGAAACAGCCAAATAATTTAAAAGTCATGCTTTAAAATTGCCTTTTGGTGTTTCTGTCATTTACCTAAAATAAAAACAGTGCCTTTTTTTTTTTTTTTTTCTCCCAAACAAACACAGAATTATATTCCCTGTAAGTATTTTTGTGAAAGTAGGGCTCGTAAAATGCGCTGAAGACTCCAGATCTGGCAGCTGAAACGTCCTGTTCATACTGATGGCAACATCAAGTTTTGGAAACCACCGTTCCTGCTACAGCACCGTTGGGGCGTTCCCTGTGTGACCAGGAGAGGCAACCTCCCAGGCTGGGAGTTGGTCCAGTGGGATACAGCTGTTTCCTTGGTCTCATAAACTCCTCACTAGAGCACCAGTGAAATAACATCATCACAATTAAATGTTTCAGAAGTTGGCTGATCCCCTGTTCTGAATCCAGGAGTGTCCACAATGCATTTCTGATGTTATAAAAACATATGCTGTTGAATAACCATTAGATGGAGAAAGTTTTCCTAGAAAGCATGAAAGAAAGGGGCTCATTCAGTCCTGTCCCCTGCTACCAGACAGCAGTGTCAAAAATTTATGAACAGTTGCTCTGTAGAGCGCTTGGTAGAGTAGGTCATTTCAAAATCTCCAAGTTCCAATGGTTGGAAACCTTTATATTTTCAGCTTAAGTTTATTCATCGGCAGTTTATAGCCATTTGCTTCTACATATATAAAGTGTTATTATTATTTGAGCTGAAGTAGATTCTTCAGATTCCCTGTATTTTTATTCTAAGCTTACCAGGGTGGGCACTTTTAGCCTCCTAGGGTGCTGGTCTTCCCATTTTTCTGACCAGCCTAGGGTCCTTCCCTGCACCCACTCTAATCTCTGTTGATTTTACTTGACTGTGGGTATTCAGGATCGTGTACAATGTTCCGTATGAAGTTCCATCAAGACTTTGTATTGCTGCTGGTAATTATTCTCTTAATTCATCACAGATTTATGTCTGTCTGTCTCTTGTCTGTAAAATACAGGTGTAGTCACCAGATGTCTGTCTTTGTCACGTCTCATAGTGAGTCCTCAGCTTGATGCAGATATTCATAGAATCACAGAATGGTTTGGGTTGGAAGGGACCTTTGAAGGTCACCTAGTCCAACCCCCCCTGCCATGGGCAGAGAAGTCTTCAACTAGATCAGATTGCTTGGAGCTCCATCCAGCCTGACCTTGAATGTTTCCAGGGATGGGGCATCTACAAATTCTGTCTTTTCTGCTGTTCAGTATTATCTGATAACTTTCTGCACTTAATTTTTATCCCATTTTTATTATCTCAGTCCTTGAGGCAATCCGATTTCTCAGGTAACGATATTCCAGTCCTCTTCTATGTTGATAATATCTTCCTATTTTGAGGCACCACAATTTTGGGGTAGGCTCTTAATTCCTATGCATCTCTAAATATGATCCTGTTCCCAAATTGCTCTTACCTTCTCAGACAATCAGTCTCCCTTTACATGATAATTTTCCTTCAAATAGTTTATTTTCTCCTACATGCAATTTAGTGTATTTCCACGTTAGATGCATGGATTCTACTGTGTTTTCTCTGTCTAAAAATATATTCATAAGGGATTATATTATGAGCTACCTTTGGTAAGCCTGTGTTGCATTCTCCTCAGTTGTCATTCATCTTTGTGTTTCAGTTATTTTTAGATTGGTTTCTTGAAAAAACAAAGCTTATGTGGTCACGCTGTCCATCTCTCATCGTACTTCTCTTCCCATGGTAACTTTTGAACTTACCGGCCAATTTCAAGCAACCTTGACAGAAGCCTAGATGCCTGGAAAATACAGAGTGCCAAAAAATAGACTGAAAATAAGTGCTGACAGGGATAGGGAATTTAAACCAAGTTAGTGCCTCTACCGAAGATAAGTCCTTCCAAGTAAAGCTTAGAGAGGAGAGAGCTGATATGAGGAGGAGGACAGGGCAGAAATGCCCAGCTGCATTAAGAGCTTTCCTAAAAGTTTGTGCTTTCTTTCATGAGGGAGAATCCAGTCATGAGGAGTAAAGCTGGAGGAGAGGGGTCCTTGTTTTGCTATGTGCCTTATGGAATAGCCAGCCATAAGACCAAGTAGTACAACCCCCAGACCTCAGCAGAATGACTTGAATTGTGAATAGCACGTGCCCCCCAGGAGATTCCTGCATAGGAAAGCAAAAGGGACCATAACCTGCAGCTGCCAGTATGCATTTTCTGAAGTGATGGGTCATCTTTTGCCAGGTGCTGATGGGTTAAAAAAATGTGTCCTGAAAAGGGGTGAATCCAAAAATGTTCTCTGATAAACATCTGGGGCTCTTACCCTTTTTCTTTCTGTGTCCGTCCACTTGCATACGGGGGATGCTTTGCTTTATAAGGCTGTTAAATGAAGTGAGGCAGACTTGCCTCTGTTCAGTGGAGGGATTAACTAAACAGTCTCGAGTCCATTCCTGCCCTATTATCCATGGTTTTGCTGTTGCAATTAGGACACTGGTAGGGTATGAAGTGAAAAGAAATGGTATTTTGTCACTGAGCAGTGCAGCGGTGAGTTGGTGGTGAGACTGGAACTATACAGTAGAAAATTGCTAGCCTGGTTATTGGAGTTTTATGTCAATTAGTGATTATACAAATACAGATACCATACTCTAGACAGCTAGTAAGTTATTTTGGGGGAGGAAAGTGTGTTTATAATTTATAGTCAACATTTCAGTTAGAAATGTGGACTTAATTTTTTTTAAATCTCAGAACCTCTAGCGCGTGAGTACTTCAATTTAAAAATTAAATTATTTCCCCCTTTGCTTTTCCTTGTGTGGATACTTCTAAAAGGGGAAGATGAAAGGATGGCTTCAGCAATCTGAATAAACCTCCTCCACCTTTGATGAAAATGCTTCTTTTCTGAAATGCAACGTGCCTGTTGAGCTCCTGTTCTCAGACTCTCTCTCTTGCACCTTCACAGCCTCATGCTGTGTCTTCATGGATAATAAAAACGTGCAGAATCAGGTCCTTCTCAAAGCGTGTTGTGAATTACTAATCTTCTAATTGCAGCACGCTGAGGATTAAGAGGTGCTTGGTGGTTGCTAGCAGCGTTTAAACAAATTCATTGTATAATCCTGGCATCCCAGTCTTTTCCAGTGCTCGTATGTAGCTGGAAGTGCCCAAATGAGTTAGTCATTAGGATATCCAGTCTTCAGTCTTGCACGTTGTCAGGTCGAGATGTGACTCTGTTCTGTTGCTGGTCAGATGGTGCTGCCAAAGCTTGCAGTCATGAGCTCCATGGGAGCAGGACTAATGCAGTTCAGAGCTCAGCCAAGGAGTGAAGGTTACGTAGTCAAAACTGCAGAAAAAACCCAATTAGTTTGAACTGAATTGTGAGGAGCTTGAAAGTGGAAATCCAAAAGAGGTGAGCTTTCAGACAACGAACGTGAAAATATTCCTGTAAAACTGACTTAGCAACAAATGAGAAGCTATATACAAATTGACCTCCTCTGGACACTATAAAGGAGCTTTTGGTTTAAATAAGACATTTGAAAGTATTTCTCGCGCGTCGTAGAAACTGTTCTTGTAAAGATAATCTGCAAAAATATTTAAAAATGTTTTTAATAAGACATTAGTCTGTATAGATTTATATATATTTTTTTTTTATTTCTAATTTTCTTAAAGTATTCCTCCATAGTTTGAATTTTGTATTTGGCTGGTTTATATGGTTGCTATTTATAGTTGTAATAGAATGTGTATCTAATCCGATAGATGTGTATCTAATTCCATAGGATATTTGGGGATTAGTAACACATGGATGTATGGCACAAATGGGGTCATACTTCCTGAGGGACTCTGTAGCGTGTCAGTAGTAACAACGAAACATGAGAGGAGTGGGTTCTTTGGGACCACCGGGAAAACATCGCCCTATTCTGTTTTCTTCTTTATACTGTGCGTATTGTGCTCGCTTAATTCTCTCCTTTGTATAATGCTTGTTTTTTAATTGTAAAAGTTGAAGAAGAATAAGGAGATTGAAGTGGTTTGTGGTATACATTTATGTTTTCATGACTAATCTTGCAGATGTGTGTGGGGAGGGATGGTGATGGTCGTCTTTTGTTGTGGAAAGCGATAAAAGTTTGAGATTATTTTTGCTTTTCGTTTTTTGTTTTTTGTTACCTCATCTTTGTTATGGTCCAAACTGGAATGCAGTCCATAATGGTACTGGGCTCTCCCTGGAAAGTCATACTGCCTTAACCAGAGCTTATTCCACTCTGTGGTCTGTCCATTGTCTTTGGTAGATCTTTGTATCGAACCCTCGTCAAAATCCATGGGAATTCACAACCTAATGCTATGTAGCATCAGAAACTAAGCTACTTGGTTTCTTTCATGTTTAAATACAGTGATGTGGTATTTGCCTTTCTAACCATACAGAGGAAGAATGTTTTAAATTAAACAAACAAAACCATTTTCTCCAAAATGCTCGGTCTTTCATTTAAATGCCATGAAAACATTTGTGTCCGTATTTGGGCCTGATCCTCTGTTCCTTATTTAATTCAGGCAATGTTTTACACAAGTGAGATCTGTTCCATAGATTCTTGAAGTCTGTCAGAACTTAGGGGATAGCTTAAACTGCTTCCTCCTGAGAAGCTTTAGGCTGGAAAAGAAAAGCAGCTGAAGGAGAAGGAGTGATGGCGGAGAAGCTGGGACCTTATCTTGAGTGCTCTAAACAAAGGACACTTTTGGTGTGCTGGAGTCTGCTGTTCGTTATCTGCCTCGCCATGAAACCAGTGAAGTTTGGCAGCTGTTGGAAATCCAGTGGATCCTGCCAGATACGCAGCATCCAGAAAACACTGGACATAGGCACAGACTTGCTGGAGTGATGACCTGTAGGTCGGGGGCTTTGGGAAGCATCCAGCTCCTGTGCAGGTGCTGAGCAGTGGCTTTCCACATGCGAACGGTGGCTCGTGAGTCCTGGATGAACTTGCAGTAGCTGTACGTGAGAACTTTTACTGCTCTACTGAGTAGCTGAAGCAAAATATAGTGCCTGGGGCATAACCCTTTCTTGTTCATAATGTCTTTGTGCGTTTTTATTGCATTTTTGTATAAAACTTAAAAGCTTTTTTTTTTTTTTTTTTTTTTCGGTTGATTTAAGGCGGTCCTCTTCTATCCTGAAAGAAGAAATCCAAGTGAAGAAAAAACATGCCTTTGTTTAGTAAATCGCACAAAAATCCTGCTGAGATTGTGAAAATTCTGAAAGAAAACATGGCCATATTGGAAAAACAAGAAAAAAAGACTGACAAGGTAAGAGGTAACGGTGTGGAAGACCGATAAGGTTTTTATGCTGGGGAAACAGTAGAATAAAGGGAATAAAATTTTGTTTGCTCACTGCCCTGATTCTGCAAGCACTTGCACATGTAAGTAGCTTTGTGCTTGAACAGTTCTGCTGAAATCAGGGGGCTTTTGCATAACTAAAGTACAGCCAATCTGGGGATCAAGCAGAAAATTTTGAGATCCAGGAGCCTCAGACAAAGCAAAGGGTGATCCCCTACTACTTCAAATAGTAATGCATCTAACAAAACCGCTTGGAAGGCCTTTTGAAAACTATTTAACCGTTAATTGTTTTAGCAGGGTAACAAATGAGACTGCCAATTAACGTGTGGGTACCCACAGAGCAAAACTTACTTCTCATGAACATTGTTCGTGTAAAACAACAAACCTGTGTGTATTCAGGTGTATAAAAACCAAATCTCATTCTATCGATCCTTTCTGATCTTCTGGGTGCTAGTGCTTCCTAAATGAACCGTGCTAATTGTATTCTAATTATAGTGCTAGATTTTTGCTAATACTATTGCTCTCCTGTAACCCCGTGACACAGACCTGAGTTACTTTTGCCACTCTCCCAGTGACCAGTTAAGAAGATGCACCCCAGAGTACAAACTGGTCCCAATTAGGAATTTGTGCTTACATAAAATCAATTTTTTTTTTTTTTTCATCTGAGACTTTGACCCTTTATATTATTAGTGTAGTAGAAGTATATGATTTTCATTAATAACAAACTCGTTTTAGGTTAAAACTGAATGTCTGTGGAAAGAGAAATAGCTGATAAGTGACATTAACACAATTTTCATTCAGCTGATGTTTGTGTGTGCATGGTGTGCTTCCCCCACCCTGTGCAGGAGCCTGAATTAAAATGAGCCCAACCCACAAGGCAAGCATGGAGCCCTTCGTGCCCTTAGTGAAATCCTCTTGAAACTTTTTGGTTCAAAGCAAGTCGCTCAGGGTGTGTTAATTATGTAAGATCAGTCACATGGATTTCAGGGAGGCCTCTGGTATTTGATGTCTCATGCTGAAATACCTTCAGTTAACTGAAAAGCACTGAGAGAATTTGACTCTGAACTAAAACTTGAAATAAGTAAATAAACCAACAGAATCTGCCCTCCCCTGCTGAATTCATCCTTCAGAGCCCGATTAAATAAGACATTCAAAGCAGAAGCTCTTGACTTGGATTTCTTTTCTATTTGCTTTGCAGCATGACTCCTCTGGGTTGTGGTTTTGAGGATTTTTGGCTTTGAGCTGGTTTGTTTATTTGGGTGTCAGTGACAAAGGAGGAAAAATTCAGACTTAGAGAATCGAGAACTCGATGTAAATTTTTCATAAAAGTCAGAACAGCTGGTGTGTGTTTTCCTCACAAAGCAAAAGATATGGGAGCGTTCCCCTGGCATATTAGGATGAAAACAGCTTGAGAATTTAACGACAACGCTTCTTTTACAGGAGGAGGTTGGTTTTTCAGTGTTTTATTCCATACTTCTGTCACTGTGGGATGGAGGCTGTTCCTCGGGTGAATGTGGATGGCTGGGGGAGAGGAGGGAGGGGGGGACAAGGCAGGCACTTCAGCAGCAAGGCAGAAAGGGAAGAAAGCAGCCCTTTTTTTGAATGGTATTTACACGTATGTTTTACGTGGCTTGTTGACTCAGGACTTTGTGCTGAGGTGTAGAGGAAGCACATAAGGCCTTTCTCCCTTTGGAAGGGAAGATGTGAGCCTCTGCAGTAATGCTACCTTTCATCTGAAGTGTTGCACTGACCCGCCATGAAATAAATACCTATTAAAGAAAATAGCTGGATTAATTCCCCTGAGTTTAAGGAAGTAAATTGTAAGGAATATCTTCATTACTGTGACAACAGTAAACTTTAAAAAATGGCAGGAAAAATAACTCTTGCAAAAACAACCACCCCATCACATCTCTTACTATCCATACAGGTTTGTGGACTTAGTAAAACTATTTTTAAGTGTTGTCTGCATTTTGAATTGGAGAAGAAAAGATGATGGGGAGACTTTCAGTGGCACACAGATGTTCAAAACTTACTTAGTAATACTAATGAATAACGTCTTTTCTTGAGTATGATTAGAGAAATTTAACTGAAAACAAAAGCAAAACGAAACAAAGCACAGTGTTGTACTCTGTGCTCTTCAAAACCTGGTAAGGTTTTAAATTTACCTTTGCTTTGATTTCCAAAGGGAGATGAAATGTGTTAAACTTTCATAAAAGGGCTCAGAGTTCTGGCTCCTGCAAGAGCCGCAGATCCTGGATATCCCAGAGCTGGTTTTGGACCCTGTGGGCCTGTGAACACAGAAGTTTGGGAATCAGGGCCCTGCGATTTCTTCAAATTTCTTGCTCCTTGTCATTTTCCATGTGAACCGGGGACGTGCCATTTTGCCTCACCATAAAACCGAGGTTCCCAGGACTTTTGGGGTACGACTCCACAGCATCTCTGATTTTGCTCCTGTGCAGAATAGCTTCCAACTGGGACTTGCCTCAGATGCCTAAACAAGAAGATTTATCCTGTGACAATTGAGCTGTTATTGTAGCACAGCCAGCGTGGTATGTGGGCTGAGACAGCTAAAAGCTGCTAATACAGCCGGAATTGGCAGAGAAGTGTGGCAAAGCCTAAATTAACTGCAGGGCTAGTGGAGAACCTCCTTGTTTCTTTTCCCAGTTGAGAAATTGTAAGTATGAGGTGAAGATGCCCTGGGCAGCTGCGGGGGGGGCGTGAGGTTGGACAGGATGAGGCTTGACGCTTCTAATACAACTTTTTGCAACTTTCAGCAGGAACCATCTGTGCCTGGGAAGGGGCTGTTTTTAGATGATGCAGAAATGATCATTCCTACCAAGCCATGCAGTATGCAGGTAGAGGGAGCCTTACAGCAGATCAGTTAAGACTTTCTGAGTAATGGGAAGAGGGGGGGAGGACACGACTTGATACACAGGATGCAGAGAAGCCATTTGTAAGTATAAAGGCAATTTACATCTTTTCTGAGACACATTTCCATGTGCACACGTACTGTACAGAAGTTTGTGCTCTTTCTTAATGATGCTGCTTGTTAGTCATAGGATAGGACCCATTCAGGCTTTGACTGAACTTTATTGACTGTGCTAGCATCCATCTTCTTACATAAGGGTTGAATTTGACCCAGTTCCTCCATGCGTCTTATTTTTTAAAAAAAACCCAAAACTATTAATGCGTGTAGTGTTGCCCTAGTGATTTTTAAAACTCTCAACTGAAAAACAGGCTAAGTTTGAATGTTTGGTTCTTACTTTTATTTTATGGGTGGGGTTTTTTGTTTATTTGCTTGTATGGATGTGTGTGTCCTTAAGGCTTTGCCATTTTCTCAGCTACATTCTGATGGCTGATAGATCACAGGTTGAGAAGTGCCACCACACATGGCTCTTCTTCCTCTGAAGTGCTCTTTCTAATACCTTGCTTTTAATTTTTTTTTTTAAATAACATCTATTTTAAGGAAGGTATTGCAGCACTGGCAAATCTAATGTAACAATTGGGAGATTAAGTAGGGTAAGACAGAGCTGGAAAAGTGGACTGAAGCCTTCTCTATCAACCATCCTCTCTTCCAACATCTGAAATAAATAAGGTGTTCTTGTCGCACGTACAATTGCTGACATCCTGTTCAGGTTTTGATGCGGCGAAGAACAATTAATTATGGTTTATTACAAAATTCTATAAATGCCATAAAAAGTCAATCTTGGTCATGTAGAACCAAACTGTGCTTGGATTGCATGAAAAATACCCATTCTGGTATTAACTAGAAAAGCAGGGGAGTATTTAAATACCTAGGAAATGAAGTCTTCAGAGCTCGGACTCTCTTCCTTATTTCTGGCATGAACCCCCGTAGCGTTTGGAGGACGCACATAAATAAGGAGCAAGAGAAGAGAAACACTGTTATCAAGTGGACAGATTTGTTGAACCTGAGGAAGAATGGACAGCATGGGACACACTGGTCATACCTCTTCATTTATTACTGATACGCTGCCATGTCTTTTGCTGATGGGTGTCGTAAAGGAACGTTGATAGAAACCTGACCCATCTCACCAAAAAGGCGGGGAGACATCCCGGCTTCTCAAAGTCTTGTGTTCAGCTGCGGAGTGAGTCCGGTCAGCACAAAGCAGTGCAGGTGGCATCCAGTTTGGCACTGGAGGATGTCCTTGGACACATCACCCTTTCCCTGGTAACCAAACACCTTTGGGTGCGGCGCCCGTGACTCAGTGCCCTCTGTGGTACCTACAGGTTTGGTAACATTTTCTGAACCCGCCCTGCAGCAAAAGTCTTCAAAGCGTCACAGGCTTTTAATTTAGTACAGCAAATGGATCTGAGGCCGGTTGAAACTTGGCCTAACCTTTGTGCTTGGCCTAGATGAGCTGGAAGATTTGCGGTTTCTGGTGTAGCTGGTCCAAGACTTGGGTTTGTGGTGGGAGATGAACCCAAGGGAGTTAGAGCTGGTTCAGGGTGCTGTCCTGGCAGGCTGAGCCTCAGGCTGCAGTGCCTTTACTCGGTGTTCAGAAACATCGTGAAGCCAGATGTAAAATAACCTGAAGTGTCTACCTTCTTCCCCTTTCACTCAAATATATCTAATGAGACTGCTTGTTCAGGTAGGTCACTGTAATCTGTCCTCTGTTTCATCTCCGGGTACTGTAACAAATTTGGTACTGTTCAGAAGGGTCAGGAGAGCAGCATTTTACTAAGGCTGCAGTTAAAAGACTTTTTAGAACAAATGTATTGATAAATCCTGCTTTTTTACATAGCAACAGGGAAGCCATTATCAGCCTCTGCTCACCTTGCTTGCTCCTGCACTGATAAAGCAGCTGGGGACCGGTGTGTGAGATGAGGTGCATGTGGAGGACGTGATGTGCATTCGCATGGAAGAATGGTTGCCTGACTCCTGTCAACACAAATACCCACGGATGTGATTCTGCAGCTGCCAAAGTCGGTTGCAAAATTGCCTTCGACTT